TGTTTTTAGGATGATTTTACCAGTGATGATTTTGCACACATGTCAGCACAATTTTTATACCATATGTTTAAGAGCAAGACCAAATACCCGCTGCATTCAGCTGTTAGGCTTAGAAGAGAAGATGTTGTATTCTTATATATAGTTGAGCATAGTTCACAGGTATGTACATATATCATTTTATCTCATATGATAATAAAATTGATTAGTTAATTATAGAGTATAGAAAGCAAAATTATAATTATTAAAACTGTTGGAAATGAAAAATATTTTTGAATAATATAGGTGTATTGCAGTGTTGGGTAGTAACTTAACAAAAGTAACGCGTTACTGTAACGGCATTACTTTGCTTGTAACGCGTTACGTAATTTCATTAGAGTTATTTCCAAGTAACGAAAATGTGATGGAAATTACTTTTGATAAGTAATTTCTATTGAATAACGCGTTACAGTTTCGAATTATTAGCACCTACCTTTTGCGAATTGAAAAAAAAAAATATGTCTATAATGCGGACATTATTGTATTTACCAATCTAGTATAGTAATATCCTATGTTTATTTATTAAAGCTCCTTATACAGCTGATCTCACAATTTTGAATTCAATGACATTAGTAAAGAATATTTTTATTAAATACCACACATCTTTACCATCCAGTGCTTCTGTAGAGAGATTATTTAGTGTTTCAGGGGACATTTGTTCTAAAAAAAGGTTGCCTATGATTGACAAAAATGTTAAAGATACACTATTGTGTAAAGTTAATTTAAAACATAAATAAATATAAAATAATAATATTGTATTATATTGATTATAGTATATTGATTTCTTTTTCAAATTATATCTATTTACTATAGGTAATGTATTTCTAGTAACATTATTGCCAGGCACAATGATAATATTGTTAAAATATATTTAAAAGTATAAAATATTTAAAAATATATTATTTTTTTTGTAACGAAAAAGTAATGAGTTACTTTTCAATTTGTAAAGTAAAGTAATGAGTTACAATTTTATTAGAGTAACGAATAAAGTAACTTTATAACTTTTTAAAAGTAATTTACCCAACACTGGTGATTATTCCATTGACATAAAAGTAAATTTATTTAATATTTATTAGTAAATTAGCACAATTAGTATTCAAATCAGAGGTATGCTTAGGTTTATAAAAGTTAATTGTATACTTGCAATAGCTTAAAATTTATTTGACTTCCCCAAACTCATATATTATAAAAGGCTCCCAACAGATTGTATTGCTTTTAATTTGTGAGTGGAAATTAATAATTTTTAACTTGACCCTTCTCGGGGCATTTACAATACAAGTATTCAACTTTTTTTTTTTTGTTTTTTTTTTTTGTGTGTGTCTGTGTACAGCATAACTAGTCGAAAAAATGCTTCAATTTCAAAGTTTGGGGGTGGTTTCCGATGTAAAAGTGAATATCCTTGGTGCATAATAAAGGTCAAAAGTTAACATTTTCCAACAGTTTTCAAAAACATCCAGAAAAACAGGAAATTTTACGCAAAACCAGTTTTCGACCAAATCGATTTTTTTATATGGTTGTAATTCAAAAACTACTCACTATAAATATTTGACATTTTCACCAAATATTTATGTTAGTGATATCTACATACAGTTTAATTTTCAAAAATTTTTGACTTTTTTTGAGTTATTTATAGACCACTGAAATTTTCAATTTGTGCTTTCAAAAAGTGCTGGTAAAAAAATGTTGGATGACCAAAAAAACTTGAAAATTTAATACAAAGTTCCTTATGAGTTGTTCTTATTGTAGCTAAAAAAAATTAAAAATCGTTAGTCACAATTTTTTTTATAAACGTTTATAGTTCATTTAAGTCATTTTGAAGTTGAAAAATCATAAAAAAAATTGTGTTTATAACTAAGGATTAAGAATACAACATTAAGTTTCCCATACGTTTTCCTTCAAGTAGGTATGGAGAAAACTCGAAGCATCATTATAGGAAAAATTTTAAGTGCGTTTGAATTTAAAATTTTTACGAAATAGCGTAGTAACGATAACGATTTATCCACAAACGATTTTAAATATTTGTTATTAATCAAAAAGTATAAGTCGTAGATACTCTAAAATTTCACCAGTTATTTAGATTGGTATTTTCTTTACATGATTTAATTTTCGAAATATTTTGACTTCTTTTTAGATATTTATAGACAACTGAAAATTTTTTTGAAGTGTCGATAAAATTTTTTTGGCGCTATCAAAAAGCTTGAAAATTTAATACAAAGTTCCTCATGAGTTATTCTTATAGTGATTAAAAAATTATAAAAACACATAGGCACAATTTTTTTTTATTAGCATTTGAAGTTCAAATATTGACTTAATACGTAAAAATTACGGCAATTTTAAAATTATCTTAGATAGAAATTCATAAAAGTTTTTTTTTTAGATCTAAGATTTTAAAATTTAATACAAGGCTCCTAGCATATTTTTACAATAGCAGTTGAAAAATAAAAGAAATATATAGTCACAAATTTTTTTTATAAGCATTTACAGTTCAAATTTTGACTAAATACATAAAAATTACAGCAATGTTCAAATTATCTTAGTTAGAAATTCATAAAAGTTTTTCTTTTTAATTCTAATATTTGAGAATTTAATATAAGGCTCATAATATATTTTTACAATAGCAGTTGAAAAATAAAAGAAATATATAGCCACAATTTTTTTTACATGCATTCAAATTTTAATTTTGACAACATACGTAAAAATCACGAAAATTTGTAAATTATTTTATCCTAGAAATTCATAAAAAATTTTCTTTTAAAATCTAAGATTTGAAAATTTTTAATAATCTATAATTTATCCTAGACAGATAAACCGTCTCCGTTCATAATCGTTTTTCGTATACAATGATACCTATATCATTGCATTCAAATCTAACCTACCCCAGTCAGAGGTCCACCTCACCACCTAATGTACAGCAGAKCGATACCCACTTTCCCGCTTTTTTTTTTTAAATAGCAATAACTTTTTTTATATTTGTAAAAACATAATTTTTTCTTAATGAAAAATTTACAAATTTCAATTAAATTTACATTTGTTAAAAATTATATTATGCTAAGAGGACACCACACCCGCATGAATGTCTCAGTTGTAGAAGTGCGTAGCATAGCAAATTTTATGCTCAGTAGATCACGTTAATCTTCGTTAGCTTAAATTTAGAGTGAATATTGTCCTACTATAAAAATTAAAGGCAAGATTATTATCTAGGCCCTAGATTCTAGGGCATCTCATGGGCATTTTTAGATTAACAAACAATTTACAATTTAAAAACATTACATCATTATTATATACCCAAAATTTAACATGTTGGATGGGCTGTATCCGAGTTGGGTCCCAAATTTAAAATTGCTACACTAGTTGGGTCCTGAATTATTTTAGGTACTACACTAGTTGGGTCCCGTATTTTTGTAGGTACCTACTATACTAGTTGGGTCCCGGATTTTTATAGGTACTACACTAGTTCGGTCCCTGATTKTTATAGTTACTACACTAGTTGGGTCCTGAATTATTTTAGCTACAACATTWGTTCTTGAATATTTTTTGGTAAGTACTACACTATACTAACATTTTCCTTCCCATTTTAACAGACTTAGGACTGTCTATTATTTATTTAGACCACGGGTATGATTAAAAACCTAATCTAACATTTTTAATATTTTTCACTTACACCTATATAGCATTATGGCTATATTTATATTAAATAATATGTATTTTTATACTTGGTTTTAACATTTTTAATATTTTTACCAACACAAAAGTGATTTATTTTTTATACAATTCTTCTAACTTCTTTAATGGAAAAGAAACATAAAAAAAAAAATACTGTAAAAGACAATTTTAATCATACCTGTGGTCTAAATGGATTATAGACAGTCCTAAGTCTGTTAAAATGGGAAGGAAAATGTTAGTATAGTTACTTACCAAAAAATATCCAAGAACTAATATTGTAGCTAAAATAATTCAGGACCCAACTAGTGTAGTAACTATAAAAATCGGGGACCGAACTAGTGTAGTACCTATTAAAATCCGGGACCGAACTAGTGTAGTACCTTTAAAAATCCGGGACCCAACTAGTATAGTACCTACAAAAATCCGGGACCCAACTAGTGTAGTACCTGCGATTCGCCCCCAGTACTCGGGACCCAACTCGGATGCGCCGGTTGGATGTTTGTAAGACGGAGTCAAAAAATGCCCATGTGTGCGTCCTTTTAATCTGTTTTTAAGAAAATTGTAATCATATTAATTTTATCCGTGAGATATCCCTAGATGTATGTATACAAATCTGTAGAAAATAATTGTTGTTATAAGTTTATAACATTTTTTTTTTTTGAATATCAACTCCATTGATTATTGATTCTACCAATTTGTATGTAATACCTACTATTTGTAACGTTCTTTTTTGGAAAACTAAGTTTAATAAATTAATTAATTCAAGGTCATCTAACCGAAATATTTAGTGGTAACTAAATTCAATATCATTTTCATTTTATGTTTAATATCAGTATCTACTTCAATGTAGTTCTTAAACATAATTTTTGTTGCCTAGTTTAAATTTTAAATTTATGCCACTGTAATTAGTATGAACGAAATTTATAAACTCCGGCTAAAAGTTTAATAATTATAATCTATGGATTGTATGGGTTTTTGATCTAACCAAGACAACATAATCCACATAAAATATCTATGTACTATTGTGCTATAAAAAGTAGAATTACTCGTTTTCCGTCAATTACATCATATTTTATTGAATAAAGTGTACATTGCAATTCACTTTGTAATAAAGTAGAGGTATATCAGTAGGATAAAAAAATACACATTTAACGAGTATACATAACACTAAAAATAAACACAGCCAAGTATTGTTTAAAACTAGTTAAATTATTCTTATAATTTTTTCTTATCATATTGTGTAATTATTTTATATCTTCTATTCGATCAAAGATAGATAAATATTATATTATAATAAAAATTATATTATCGTTATTTGCGTTTACTATTCGATGATAACTCTACTGTAATAGGTAAATTAGACATATTATACAATAATTCTAGATTTAAAAAAAAGATATTTAATAAATTATTACATTATAACGACAAGATAATAACAGTATACATTTTGGACGTGGGTCCATTTAGTGTAGTAAAAAACCAAAAATGCCAATATTCACATTCGCGTTCATGTTGTTTTTAACATTTTTGGTTTTTTAAATTTAATATTTATTTAGTCTTTATACAATTGGCCAAGATATCTATATGCAGACTCCTCACGGTGTATAAAACGCTATCGTCATGCCGGTTGCGTGTGGGTTTTCAGAAACCTCATGATATTGTAAATGATGATCACGGCGATCGTGTCAGTGTGACTTGAAAAGTTCGTCGTCTGTTTGGCGTTGTTGCAAAGGTTATCATCGCAGTAGCAGAACTGCGTTTCCGCCGTCCTCAGTTGATCATCGTTGCCGGAAAAACATCCGTTCTTGAACGAGTCGTATTCGACGGCCGACTCGACTTTCCACGACCCATTCTTGTAAACCTGATAATCATATTTCTGCGGCGTACACCCTCTCACATTTCCTTTGACAATTTCTGTTCATATTATAAACGATACGTATTAATCAATTGTAATAATATAATATAACTAGGACAGTGAATTTAATGTACGTGTTTGAATAAAAATGAAAATAGTTCGTAGTTTTTATTTTAAATTGCATATTTTTGCATTTTAATGCTTATATTTAGCTAATTTTTATTACACGTGTGGATGTATGTATAATGATTAAAAGCACAGTATTCTATTCGTATAAATAAAGAATATTAACTCATAGGTACTTATTATAATATTATATAATGTACGAATGATATTTTATAACATAATTTGTTCTAGTATTATTATTTTCAATATTATGTATTTTACGTACTTCCGGCTTGTAGTTCAAGTTGAAACGATTTCTTCATGCAATACGTCGAATTGGGACAGTGGACTTTGTAGTGATCGGAACCATCAAACTTCGAACATAGTCTGGTAGTTCGGTTCATATATGGTTCTGGTGAATGTACTGTACACTCATAACAATCTATCTGACCATTTGCATCTTTAAAAATAAAAAATAATAATTAGATATTTTTTTTATTTCACACCAGTCGTTTTAGAGACGATTATAATTATGCTTTTGACGTTTTTAATATTAACTATAATTACGCGTATTCAACGGAATCAATCATATTTAAACTCCTTCCGGACCTAAGTGGGTTAACCGTGCGTTTCGGGAACGTATAATTACAATTCGCATTGGGTTACTTTTATTAGTATATATCTATATACTAAAAGGTGGTCGTTTTGTTCCGCGCTAGATACAATCTTTGTTCTGTTTATGTTTTTCTCAAATAAAGGGCAATGCGACACAAAAAACTTACGATTGCTTTAGGCTTTTAAATTCACCATATTGTTCAAGCGTAGGTATACCTCGACAGTTATAGGTACATAACATTTATGTGTGTTGGATTCTTTAATGTTATTGTAATCATACATATTACCACGGAAAAAAATTCAGCTATTAGACTAGTTTGATGTTTTATTTAATCATAATTAGTCAATAGTTATATATATATATATATATATATATTCAATATATATATATATATTATGTGACAGCTATAAATATTGTAAAATAACTTTATGCTTTTGTTAAATAATTATTGTTATTGCATCTATAATATCGACTAATTTTTAGTTACTATAACTTTTAACTTGATATAACTATTATATTTAGTAACTCAATAGTTAACTATAAAAGAACTTTTCTATTACTAATGATTTATTACGTATAATACGTTTTCATACCTAATGATGTGTATATTGAATATAATACATAATCCGTTTGAAGTTTATTACCTATATATTTATACATAGTTTTATTAGTAGTTTGTTTGAMGAGGAGGCGGTGATATTGTTGACCCCCTTTGATACTTGGTTAATGTATTATTTGGATAGTATATATATATGTCAATACTTGTAGATACCTAGATATGCCAATTGCCAATATTAAAAAATAATGATTTATGGTAATAATACTAAATAGGTAGTAAACATTATCAAAATTTTAAATATAACAAGAATAAGAAGTATGTATAATCTTGCAATCTTGCCTCGTGAAAAGTGTTTGACAAAATTATAACTAATATTATTTATATAATTAGACTAAATTCGCCCTCTTCCCCTCTCCTTGAAGTTTTTTTATAACTGCTACTTAGTCCTTACATCTTTATTATTATATTTCCATGTTTAGTTTTCTTGTAAGTTTATTTTTATAGTAAATATTTCATTTGTCAAGTTCTTACTTCGTGTGGTTAGACCTTGATGAAAATTGTGTTGGGCATTCGTTATTTTTGTTTAAATTTGCAATAACAAGAACTGTGACGGGTGCCATTATTGCGGTCAATTATCTCGTCAAATCCTTTACTAAATCTCAGCGCTTTGTATTGTCATTTAAAAAAATATATACAGGGTGTCCCACAGATATCTGACATTCTGAAAAATGAAATAACTTTTGTTCTAATCAATATTTAAAATAAATTTATTTTAAATATAATTCATATAGACACTTGCGCTACATTTTTAGAATACATTTTTTATTTTTTAATTCTGAAAATAAAAAACTTAAAAATTGATAAAAAATGTTTTCGAAATATTCAATATAGCCAATTTGTAAATCTGATTTTTAGAAAAATGTATATGGTAAAAACACTTATTTAAGTCAAATGGCTGATTTTTAAATTTTTTTTTTTATACCAATATTTTCGTTAAGTAAATTATACGATCTAGTTATGTTTAGCTATATTTATGTTAGAAATAACCTTGTCAAATAATAATAAAGTTTTTTAAAAATATTTTATAAGAACATTTTAAAATAAGTGCGTGTTAAAATCTAATTATTTTTTTAATGTATTTATTTTAATAATATGTGATGTATAAACTATAAATTACTATAATTTACCTAACGAAAATATTGATATTTAAAAAAATTGTAAAAAATCAGCCTTTTGATTTAAATAAATGTTTTTACCATATAAATTTTTCTAAAAATCAGATTTACAAATTGGCTATATTGAATATTTCGAAAACATTTTTTATCAATTTTTAAGTTTTTTATTTTCACTATTAAAAAATAAAAAATGTATTCTAAAAATGTAGTGCAAGTGTCTATGAATTATATTTAAAAGAAATTTTAAAAAAATATTGATTAGAACAAAAGTTATTTCATTTGTCAGAATGTCAGATCTCTTTGGGACACCCTGTATGTTATCTAAACGTTGATCGTTGTTGGAATTAATTTTTAAACAATATGCAATTACAATGTGTGTGCATTGTTATCTGGTTATATGTCTAGATAAATACTTACTATATGGTGGTTTATGTTTTATATACTTGCATTTATGATTAATTAATAATTTGTCGTTCACCCTTGGCTTTGAAATTCTACTAGGTATAACTTTTTTTTGTACTTAAGTTATTATTTTTTAGTTCAGAATGATTATTCAGTCTACTMAGAAAAACTACTCATATATTTTACCGATAAAAAAATATTTTTTTTAGAGAACCCTAAATGATAGATCATAAATAGATTTTAATCTTAATCTTTTTTTATTTATTCTTTTATAGAAATTTAAACCCTTGATAGGTTATATATTCTAATAACTTGAGTATGTAGCTAACTTTAAATTATAACGTAGAATGTTATTGTATCAAAATATTTGTATACTTAGTATTATTTTAAATTTCAGTTTACTTAAACTCTCTTTAAGCAATAATAATAGGTACCTAAACGTATGTTTCACATGGGCATTGGGCATGACATACTCAATATGTCTATCTACATTCACATTTATAGGTGTTAATAATAGTTAGAAATAAGTATAAAACTATCAAAACTTTAAGGCTACAGAATGAAATAGTCCAAGCATAAATGTAAATACGTTTTTGTTTAATCAGTTTAATTGTGTGTATTACAGAGGAATTATTTCTTTTAATCTCTACGGTCGTATTCTATTCCCGGCTCCAATGCTCAGTTCCGATGTACTAAGAACATTATAATACTATCTATTTTATCTAAACTTTGAAGTAATTTATCTACTTATATGTTTTATATTATACCTACATTTATAACAACCGAGAACCGTATAACTTATAGTATCGAATTATCACTGACTTACACACTATTGACTGGCGATGTATATAAAAATTATAATAAGATCACCACGTATACCATTACCAGTGATAGTGTAGGTCATTAGATAATTCCTTTTCAACTATTAAGTTTAAAATTATAACATTTTTTCTAATATAACATAAATTATTATGTCAACTATATATACCAACGATTTCAATCATTTTAGACATTTCGAATAGGGAAATCTTGGCGTCAAGTAAATTACAATCATCGTTGACTACACATTAATGAGTACATTTTATCAATAAATACTATTATGGTGATATCTCTGATTATACTTKGTTATTCGCGAATCAAAATATATTGTATTCATAGTTTATTCGCGTATAGGCATTAACCATAGTGATATAACTTTATAATATGGCCCATACTGTTACCACAATAATATTGTATTATCGTATACTGAGGACGCAGTGATGAAATACTTTGCACACGCTACTGAATATATTATATATATGTTGCAGTAATCTGCGTATTTTTCCTCGTCAATTTATTATATCAGACTAACATTTCTAAGTAATTTCTATCATTTTTATTACAATACAGGTATGGCATATGGTAAGTCATAATAAAAAAAATTAATCAGATGATTATGATTCATATTGTGGATGATACCAAAAAATATCAAACTTTAAAAAAGGTATTTTAAACTTTCTATTATTTCTGATACCTATAATGATCGAAACGTTTCGTGAAATATGTGTGTGTTTCAATTTTTAAAAGGTCTGCTGTAGTTTAATATAATATATAGGTACCTACCTATTATATTATAATATTATGGTGCCTTAACGTATGCTGTGCGCATGCATTTTTTTGACCACTTGACCCTAATCTAGAAATAATAAAGTTAATAGGCAGCATACGATTTCTTTTACTCGCGGTGAGATTATAAGAGTAACATGATGTCCCATAAAAAATATTAGTATATTATTGAACTAATCGATTCTTTATGTAAAAAAAACAAAACCAATTATAAAAATATATACTTGCTGAACTACTTACTGGACATCAGTGAAATCAATATGTAACCGACAGCAGTAGCGAAACTTAAACTAGTCCGGAATGATAGAGGGAGGGTCATTATTTGTTGGCTAAAATCGAATTTTTTTCCGTTAACTGAAATCTTTACTGTAATATTGCATTCGGTGGATTTTGGTGAGTTGATGAAAACTAATAAAGTATAATATTTTTACATAATTCTATACACATCACTTATTCGCAAGTACATATACGACATACACGTTCGACAGTTATTAATCAATTTATGACACTATACGACCGACACTCGAACAAATATATTATTATTTTTATTTTATTATACGCGATGTCTATTATAATTTATAATACGATATTTTATTATTGTAACGCCGCTCAGTAAGTTTAATGAACCAACTGAACCGCCGGCCGCTGACTGGCTAGCTAAACTTCATTCTTCAATACATTCATATTATTATTATTATTATTATAACGCGTGGTTCTCGCCGCTACCACTGTATAAAAGCCGTTGGATCGACAACGACGCCAATGCAGTAGTATTTCTAGTCGCTGGTGGGAGTTGTTCGACGACAAAGCAATGTAGTCTATTCATACATAATATTGCTCAGCAGTCTGGGTTATTTATTATTTATTTTTATTTCATGTATTTGACGGTTTAACATTTTAAAAACGTGGTTAATATTTTTTTAGCTTATAATAATATAATATCATCATGTAGATACAACTAATGTAATATACATATTATAATATGTGTTTTGATTTAATACTGTTGCATAACTAATCAATGAAAGATGAAAAACTATTCCTATCGAACCTCAATAAAATAATATTAAAATTTACTGAAAACTTCTTATACATAATGCTGCTATAAGATTAAAGTTAGATTCAGGAGTTGAGATAGATCATTACATTTGGCCAAATTTCTTTTGATTTTTACATTTTTATACCTGAAAAATGATTTGTACCGAGCACTTCTACTTCGATTTGTATTTTAAAAATATACGAGGTTTCTTATGATTTTATTTGAAAAACACATATTCAAAAAATTGTCTCACATAATATAGTATAATAACTTGAACACGAGGACATTGTTGAGACTTTTTATACCATACTATATCGAGTTTAAAAAACTGGTTCATATACAAAGTGATTTACTAAGCATGCTCACGTTCATTGTTTGTCTTACATGCATTTTTAAATTCTTACTTGRAAGTTTTAACTTTACTTATATATGAATTATATTTTAAGTAATTTTGATTTTTATATTATAGCTACACAAACTCTTTTTTTCAATTAAGAACTAATCATTTTAACTGTTAATTTTGAATAAATATTTTTTTTGAAAATTTAGACGTATCTAAAACTAAGTCTAATCATCAGTGATTTGTTATATATATATATAAGGTTTTTATTTAAGGTTCAATTAAAAATGGTCTTATACAAAAGTAAAAATGGACGTCATATTGGAAATAGTATTTATTATACTTGGGCCATTTTTACAAATTATTAATATTGATACTTTGATAGATTAACATTAACGACTAATAACTAAGTCATAAATAACTCAAAAATTATACTCGATCGAACTTTGTTATTTATTAATTTATTATTATAATTCTGATACATAAAATTCTTCAAAAAATTCTCTATAAAATAATTTAACATAACTGTAATTACACTTGAAAAAGTGGGTTGTCATTTGAAAAACAGAATCTATATCTCCACAAGACATTCCTTAAGTAGTATATAAAAATCTTAAGTATACTTATTTAAAATTATGGTTTTTAATAGTATAATCAGATTTTAAATACTCGCTTTATTGAAGAAAAAGGGAGATGAGTATGCTTGGTGTATCGCCCTGTATGTTATAGTGTATACATATATAAAAACCATGTACCCCCACTATGACGAATTAGTATCCACATTTATAATGGATTTATTTTTTTTAATTGCACGTTGAATATTTAAAACAGGTTTTGTAGTTTGAATTTTCTGACGGTTACAAGTTATAGGTTACGGTGGTATTTATTTTTATATAGAAAGAAAAGAACTATAGATAAAAATTATTCTAAATTCACATTTTGAAAAAAAATAAAATTATTCCACTCATCATATCAGTATACTGAGTATAGAATGTTATATGTAAAAAAAATGGAATTTCGAAAAAAATTACCAAATATTCTTAAAATATATCATATTATCTATTTATTGTTATGAAATTCATATATTGTATCTATACGTGATTATTTAAATATTTTCAAGTCTTCGTTATTCAGCTATGTTTAGTGCTTAATACTTATTATATTATAATAAAGCGTTTTTCGGTCAAACTACATACGATGTTCCTTAACCACAGATTTTGTAATAATATCATTTATAATATCACAAATTAATTTTACGTACAATTCCAATTTAAAATTTGCTGTACGATTATGTTTCTCGATCATGCGTGGGGTAAATTAATTGATTTGTGGTTTTCTCCCGACGTCTACATGATTATACGTGGACATTCGGTTCAATGTACCTTATACTTATTACCATACCCTCATCTTATATACTCAGCTGATTTATACTATGTGTCTTTATCATATATAACTATATAAGGTATCTTTAATACAGTTATTATTCACTTTTATACCTACTAATCATTTATGATAAAATTTTTATAACTATTTAATATGCCCTAATATACTACTAGTATAGAACATATAAATTCATAATTTGTTTTTCATGAATCCTCTATATGTATGTACATATATAATATATTACCCAATTTGGATGTACTAAAGTAAAACGAATCCCTTTCTCTTATATATATATATTATATTAATTAATGATAAAGTTCTTATAGAATTATATCACTGAAATGTAGATATATTCAAAAATTTTTACCAACAACTAACAACGCTCATGCGTTTATTATAAAAATAGGTATCATATTAAAAGTTCGCACGTGATAAGAAAATTCATAACTGTACAAATTTGAATAGGTACATAAAATGAAAATATCATTATATTTTATAGTTTGTTCATGTATTCATTAGAATATTAATGCTTTTAAATTTACATCTATATATTTGTCAATTGTTGTTATATATAATTGTATTTTTTTTTGTGTATTTTCGTAAATAATAGTATACAGAAGGTAGTGAATTCTTATATATAGATTGAGGGATTAAATTATGACGTCATTGCGCATGGTACACTATAGTTGAAAACAAATTGTAATTTTTCCTCTCGAAAATTAGAAAACTTTAAAAATAAATGCACCGCTATTCGAACCGGATTGTTACTATTCTAGCTATGTCTACTTTCTCCCAAGAAATGAAAGAGCTCTCTGCTCTCTGTAGGTTTAATGATCTCGGAGTACCAAAACGAGGTCAAGATTATTCATAAAGATGAATGTTATGTCCTTGCACTCGAGTCGTTCAACGATATTGAATTGAATAGGAAGAATATTATGTGCACTTATATACAGTTTACATGTGTATGTGTGTACCTACACATAAATTATATTTAATACATACATTATATTTATATACCCAAAACGGTATTTTTTTTTAGCAATGTTAGCAAATAAACCTATTCCAACGGTAATACGTTGAACTCGTGCTCCGTCTTATACTCTTATCCCATTGTTTACTATTATGTCTATTGTCTACTGTCTAGTATTTGTATGCAGTATAAGAACTTACGTCTAATTTTCTGTTTTGTGTAAAGAATAACATTATTTTTTTAAAGTTGTGAGTATTGGCCTATGTTATAATATTAAATTGAGTGTATACTCAATCGTATATGCACTCGCGACACTCGATTGTGGCATTGTGTCGTTATTAAGTTTAAAGGTTTAATCAAAGATCATTTTTCGAATTTTAAATTTTATTAACATTTTATGAGTGTTATTCTTTGGCGATACAGTTTACTTATTTCAAATTAGGACAACGCCCTTTCTGAAAATGTAACGTCTAAATTGAAACTAAACTGAGTATAGTGAGTAAGTAGTTTCCGAGTTATTAGACTTAGTGTACTATAGTCTATAATAGTTCCGTACTTAAACAGTAAAATAGATTTAATATGTATTTTGTCTTATTATATACTTAATCAGTTTTTACAAATCTTAAAATGTTATTAGATCAACATTAACTACATATACTGCAATTGTTTCAAATAATCATATACGCCATTACCCTCATATTATATTTTATATCTGTTAAATAACGAACATTATTCTTAGTAAAATAGTACATAATAATAACCAAGGATCTACTCGTTCGAATTTTGATTTATCTACATCAACATTTTCAAAAAAAGAAGTTTGTAAGGGAACACTCTTAAATGAAAAATCTAGGTATCTGAAAATATGGTCATAAAATATACTTAAAAATTCAAATTATCAGTATTTGAATATACTCACAATATTGTATGTATACATTTGATCACGTTTTTTTTATGTATTTCATTAATTAAATTCAAATAGTGATAGTATTCAAAACAATTAAATAGTTATGTTTTCTTTACCGTCAAATACGATTCATAATTTAAATATAATATTTTATCATTCATGATTTTGATTTAGTATATCAAATCATTAACAATCTCGTGTCAAACATGTTATTTATATTAAGTTTAGAACAATGACATGAATTAACATAGGTAACAGAAAATCAATTTATAAATTATAAATGTATGAAATAATATAAGGTAAGATATTCACCGGTCTAATTATTATGATATTTAAATATAAATATAGGCAACGTTGCGACTAAACAAAAGAATAATATGTTTCTTTGTACCTATTAAAATAAAACCATTTTTTTCATTGTAACAGTTCGTTATTATGTAAGTAGGTTATGTAGGTAATATATATACCAGGTTATATACCTTACCTATTAACAATATTTGTTTTTCAATATTACAAGGATTTTATACTATGAAGACCCTTTTTTATTTTACGTAATATAGGTTCATATCGTTATTGTTCATTTGAAACCGTCGGGACATTGTAGGTCTAAGACTCCAAGTAAAAAAATAGTTAGTATTCGTTCTTATATGTGTCGATAGATGCAAAATGAATTATGCTTGTTAATATTCATATACAAAAATAATTGACGGGAATAATGGTGATATTTTGCTAATTTTACTAACCTAACCAATAATCTATAGGTGGGATGGTGAACCTTTTTTTTTTTGAGTCTAGTGTCAAATTTTTGCAATCAAGAATTTTTCTCATGCCCAATTTTTTAAACACTAAATAGAACATAATAAATAAAATTATAATTATATAGAAACTTCAACTTTACATAGGAATATTATAATTTCTAAAATGTATATAATTTTTTGTTGAATTTTATGAATAGCATATAATTTTTCGCGTGGCATTGTAATTTGACAAATGTGCCATTTTTGTCACGCGTGCCACACGTG